CTAATGGGCCGTGTATAAATCGGGCCGTCGGCGCTGAAGAAGTCTAAGAAAGCCGGGCGCCCAGTCCCACAGCGACGCTGAGGAAGAAGGGTCGTTAATTGAGATGCAAACCCCAGAGAGTTCACGGGGGAACTGAAAAATGCCCGATGTGCCCCACAAGAACCCGTGGACAAAAGGTATTTTTTCTAAAACCGAGATTTAACTATCAAAAATAAACTTCTAAGTCTGGATGTACGTATCCACATCACTGGTCGGTTGCGTTCTCTCCATTTTCACGCTTCCACGCGCAGCGAGGCGGCGGCGACGCGATGGGGTCTCGGCCGCAGGTTCCGCCTACGGGCCGTCCTCGATGCCGCGTGCGAAGAGCTGGACCAGCTGGCAGTGCACCCTGCAAGACAGGCCGCGCTGACCCGGGCCGGCTCCTGCCCGAGGGCCCGCTCCCCGCGGACAGCGGGTCCCGTCCTGGCTGGCAGGGACCCCCGTGGCAAAGCAGCAGCTGCCCACGGGGAGGCCGCAGACACCGGCCTGCCTGGCTCTCCTCCCCTCACAGTGGCTGCCCCCGAGGCCGCGGCGCCTCTGGGTGGACGCCGTGAGCCCAGGGCTTAGAAAGCGGCCGTGAAGGCCATTCGCAGAGTGAGAAGCGAGAGCGGGCGGAGACCCAGGCCGCGGGCGTGCGGGTGCGGGAGAGGAAGGGTAACATCGAGGGGCCTCCCCCGGCCCGGGTGGCTCATGGTTGAGCATCGACCTATGAACCAGGGAGGTCACAGCTCGATTCCCGGTCAGGGCGCCTGCCTGCCTGGCTGTCACACAATTTCCCGGTGGCGGCGTGCAGGAGGCGGCCGATCCAGGGTTCTCTCTCATCATGGATGTTTCTCTCTCGCTGCCTCTCCCTTCCTCTCTGACATCAATAAAATATACTTTTTAAAATCGAGGGGCTTCAAAGGCCGTGACGGTGATGGACACCTGGCGTGTCCCCAGGGTTAAGACCGCGGCACCCACAGGGCGGGCGACACCCGGCAGCGTAGGCGCCCGGACCACACGCGCTCGGGTGGGGGCTCAGAGTGGCAGGATGCCCAGCTCAGGGCCGCGAGCCCCCGCGGGTGACGGGCGACCGCGACGGCCGCTCACCCACCTGACCTCCACGGCGGAGCCGCTCAGCACCTCCCCGTCGCAGTTCCAGGAGCTGCTGGCCGCGCTGCAGCAGCAGGAGGGGTGCTGGCTGCAGATCTGCCGCAGCCCCTGCTTCCCCCGCTCGCCCAGCTCGCTGTCCTCGTCCTCCACCTGCTTCGACACGAACTGAGACTTTCTTGATGCGATAAACTTCCCACGAAAAGTGAAGTCGAACTGGCAAGAGAGGGCTCCTGAGTCCCCTGCGCGGGGAGGGCGGTGGGGGGGGGGGGCGCCCTGGCCAGCGAGCTCCTGCCCTCCGCGTGCGCTCGCCCTCCAGGATGCGGCCCTGCCAGTGCTGCCGGCCGTGCTGCCCAGGGAGTGGGCGGCTTGAGGTGGACAGGAGTCTGGGCCCTGCCTTTCCAGGCACCTGGCTCACCACTGAGCCCCGGGACCCGCCGTGGCCGCCACGATGACCGCCTGTAGGAACCCGGGAGCTCCGAGCAGGGCCTGGTGGAATTCTTTTATCTTTTTCACAAGAACTAGTTAAAGAGCCTCAGAAAAGCACTATTGGAGGAGTATTTTCACTAGTATAACTAAAGTTTAAAAACATAAAAAGCAAATTGCACCCTAGCCGGTTTGGCTCAATGGATAGAGCGTCAGCCTGTGGACCGAAGGGTCCCGGGTTCGATTCCGGTCAAGGGCGTGTACCTTGGTTGCAGGCTCCTCCCAGCCCAGTCCCTGGTCGGGGCTCGTGCAGGAGGCAACCAGTCGGTGTGTCTCTCTCATCCATGTTTCTCTCTGCCTTTCCCTCTCTCTCCCACTCTCTCTACAAATCAATGGGAAAACATCCTCGGGTGAAGATTAACCAAAAAAAAGCAAATGACTGGCCCCGCTCTCTGCATGTTCCAGGCAGACTCGGGGTCTCCCTGTCCTAACTGCAAGGACGGCAGTGGCCAGGCAGGGCCACGGGGGGGGGGGTGTCCCCAGCCCCGGCTCAGGAGCCGAATGGTGCCTGTGAGCCACCCGCAGGGCCACACAGGTGTCAGTGGGTCGCTTTGTTCTGTTTAAACAGGAAGCGGAGACAGGATGACACAGACGTTCCCGTCTCCTCGTCTCTGTGCTCAGAGTCTGTGCTTTTCAGTGAGATTTACCAGGAGTCACTGTGACTGAGAGTGAAAGGGGCGAAACACAAACACATCGGCCTTCTTTCCAGCGAGCTCAGTGACGGGTTCACACGGAAGGAACCCCGACTAGGACCCGCCCAGCGGTCTGCGGGAGGCAGCTCTGCACCGAGTAGGACCCGCCCAGCGGTCTGCACCAGCCAGCTCTGCACCGAGTAGGACCCGCCCAACGGTCTGCACCAGCCAGCTCTGCACCGAGTAGGACCTGCCCAGGGGTCTGCGGGAGCCAGCTCTGCACTAAGACCCGCCAAGCGGTCTGGGGGGGGGCCAGCTCTGCACCAAGTAGGACCAGCCCAGCGGTCTGCGGGAGCCATCTCTGTACTGAGTAGGACCCGCCCAGCGGTCTGCAGGAGCCAGCTCTGGACCGAGTAGGACCTGCCCAGGGGTCTGCACCAGCCAGCTCTGGACCGAGTAGGACCCGCCCAGGGGTCTGCACCAGCCAGCTCTGGACCGAGTAGGACCCGCCCAGGGGTCTGCACCAGCCAGCTCTGGACTGAGTAAGACCCACCCAGCGGTCTGGGGGGGCCAGCTCTGCACCGAGTAGGACCCGCCCAGCGGTCTGTGGGAGCCAGCTCTGTACTGAGTAGGACCCGCCCAATAGTCTGAGGGAGCCAGCTCTGCAATGAATAGGACCTGCCCAGCAGCCCATAGAGCCAGCTCTGCACTGAGAAGAACCTGTCCAGGGGCCCATGGAGCCAGCTCTGCACTGAGAAGAACCCGTCCAGGGGCCCATGGAGCCAGCTCTGCACTGAGTAGGACCCACCTAGGGGCCCATGGAGCCAGCTCTGCACCGAGTAGGACCCGCCCAGGGACCCGCGGCACGCTCGCACTCACCTGGTCGCCCTGGTTGGTGTGCCGGACGAGGAACCTCAGGAAGTTGAACCGGGAGCATTTGCGGATGAGGATCAGGTCAGAAGACCCGTCTCCCAAGTGGGCGGCCGGGGACAGGCCCCGGGGACTCCGGGGACAAGCGCAGGACATGTTGGCGGCGTTGATGGCCAGGAACTTCCCACAGATGACCTTCCACTCCTCCACCTCCTCTGCAGCAGAGGGAGCAGGGGCCACGCTCAGGACGGGCCACACTCAGGGTCCCTCCGGGCCACGCCCAGGACAGGCCACGCGCACCCACGTCTGGCGTGGACACTAAGGAAACTGCCACGGAGGCCGTGTGCTCGCCGGGACACTTCCTGGCCCTCCCCTGGGGCCCTGACCTGGCCGCCCTCGGACTCTGTGGCCTGGGAGCCGAGAACGAGCCACATTTTCTCACGATTGAGAAGATCAAGGGTAACATCCGGTGACTGTGCAGCCCACACGATTCAACGCTCCCGCCAGGGCCGTGCCCACTCCTGTCCCAAGACGTCCCCACGAGCCCTCAGACACCGCGGGCCCACTCCTGGGGCCAAGACCAGGCGCGCCAGCCACGGCGATGCCGAGCGGCTCCCAACCTCTCTTCCCTGGGGCCTGGCCCGCAGCCCGTGCAGCTGCCGGAGTGACAGCAAGGGGCCGGCACGGGGGGAGGGGGGGGCGGAGGGGGTGGAGGACGCCCACCTGACCTTCAGGGCACAGGGGGGCCCGAGAGGACAGAGCCGCCCGACGTACCCGAGCCCTCCAGGCCGTACAGCGACCGCTTCTGCTCCTCCTCCAGCTGCTGCTTGCTCTGCCTGCAGACGAAGCACCTGGAACACAAGAGGCCGCTCGCCTTCTACCCAGGGCAGGGCGCCTGCGTGGCGCCCACACAGCCTCTCAGTCCTTCCCCGCGGCGGGAGGTGCGGCATCCACGGCTCAGTTAAAAAGGCTTCTTTGGCCCCGGCCGGTGTTGCTCAGTGGATAGAGCGTCGGCCAAAGGGTCCCAGGTTCGATTCCGGTCAAGGGCACGGACCTCAGTTGCAGGCTCCTCCCCAGCCCAGGCCCTGGCTCGTGCAGGAGGCAACCAATCAGCGTGTTTCTCTCTCATCGATGTTTCTCTCTCTCTTTCCCTCTCTTTTCCACTCTCTCTAAGAAAACCAATGGAAAAATATCCTCAGGTGAGGGTAAAAAAAACACTTCTTCGACATATTAACCTGAATTCTCAAAATGAGATTTACTTTAAAAAACCCGGGGCCTAGGACCCGGCGGGAGGGGTAACGAGATGCCCTCTCCTCAGGGCGCGTGTGAACCAAAAGCATAAACCCAGCGTCCGGCCCACATCTGGAACCGCCGCGTCCCTCCCAGCAGGAGCGGCCGTCCCGCTTCTCCCGCCTGAGCCCGGCCGCAGCGAGCGCTCACCCGGCCCGGCAGGGCTTCCCGTCCCGCGGAGACCCCACCGTGTGCTGCGCCGGGAGGAAGGACACGGTGCCCTCGTAGCAGTGATGCGACAGGAAGGTCTTCAGGCCTGGGGGCGGGCGCGAGGGAGGAAAGCAGCCACGGTCACCGCCCGACACACCTCCCGACAGCGTGATCGTCAGGGTGAGCCTCGGGAGCAGGTCCCCCGGAGGCCTTCTCGGGGAGCCCCCAGGGACGGGCTCGGCCAGCACCGGGGATTGAGGGCCGCCGCCGGCCCGCGCTGGGTGCAGGGCCAGCGTGACGGAGTGTGACCCCGTGTGACAGCTGCCACGCTGGGCGCCTGGCCGCCAGGGCTGTGTGCGCCGCTGGTCCTGCCTGGGGCTTGCGGTGGCGCGGGCGCCTCTGAAGCCGGGCGTCTGCGTGGCTCCGAGCCACATTCAGGGCAGGCCCACCAGGTCCCTCTGCTCCTCCCAGGCTGTCAGGGTTGCCCCCGCAGCCCCAGCCCTGGCCCCCAAACTCATCCCGGCAATTTGGGCACCTTGTCAGCACGTGGGACGAAGAAGACCAGGGCAACAATGCCACCCAGAGCCGCTCTGGCAAAGCCCCTGTGCCCGCACCCGACCTGGCTGGGCCCCCACACGCCCCCCCCAGCACAAGGCATGGATCTGACAGCGTCTGGGGGGGCCGCCCTGCAGGGCATGGGCAGCGGGGCCCGGGGGCCACAGCAAGTCTACGCAGGGCCCTGAGCCACGCAGACCGTCACCTCCGTGTAGCCTGGGAGCGACCGTGGTTCCTGTGGCCCCAGCTCCGTGAGCAGCTAAGAGGAGGGCGGTTTCAGGGCGCCCGGGTCTGTAGCTACCGGGGAGCCTGCCTGGGTTTGTCTGTTTCAGGGCGCCCGCCTCCCAGGGCGCCGTGCCGACAAGGGCACCGACGTGCCACTCCGTTACCTGAGAAGTCGTATCTGATAAGCCCCATCCAGCGCTTCTTCTCGCTGTCCTTGACGATGTCCCCGTAGAAGCCGTAGCCCAGCAGCGACACCGAGTAGCGCAGCAGCGCGCCGTGGTGGTGCACGGAGGACACGTCCATGGGCAGCGAGTCCCCTGCGAGAGAGGCCAGGGTGGGGCCGCGCCCTCCATCGGCCGCCGGCCTGTCCCCCCCCCCCCAGGCGCCCAGCAAGCTCTCAGGAGACGTGACTAGGAGGCAGACGACGCGAGGGCGTCACTGCAACATCTGTCCTCTGGGTGCCCTGCCCGAGTCACGTGACAGTGGAGAGCTGTGCGTGGGGACGAGCAAGGACATGCGCACGCAGCTCGCTCGCTCGGGGTCCCCGGCGGACGGGGTGGGTTTGCCGGCGGAGAGGCTCCACGCCTTAGAATACAGTCACGCGTCTGAGCGGTCGCAGCCACTCCTGCCTCTCGGCCCCTGACCCGCAGCACAGGGGTCCCTCCGGAGGGGCCGCGAGGCAGGCACACAGGACAGGACAGTGGCGGGCAGCCAGGGACCTTCCGGGAAGGCCCGCCCGCCCCCCCGCCCAGCGACGAGGGGCTGGGCCCTGAGTGGAGGGAAAGCCGAGTGCAGGGCCCCAGCCGGGCCTGGGACAGAGGGGCAGCCCGGCCAGCGCATGGACACCGAGGAGAGCCGCCAGGTCACGGGGTGCTGGCCCCCCAAGGCTCTGGAAGGGTTCCGAGCAGGGTCTGTGCTTTGCAGGACCCCCTGGCGGTGTGGGAAGACGGGGCAGGTGGCAGTGGAGGGGAGCCTCAGGGACACAGAGCCCTGCTGGCAGACGGCCGAGCACGGAGGGTAGGGAGGCTCGCAAGCCCCCGCCAGCGTGGGCTGCTCACAGTCCGTGGGCTGGGCGGGACCTACCCACAAAGATGGGCGGGACCTACCCACAAAGATGGGCGGGACCTACCCACAATGATGGGCGGGACCTACCCACAAAGATGGGCGGGACCTACCCACAAAGATGGGCGGGACCTACCCACAAAGATGGGCGGGACCTACCCACAATGATGGGCGGGACCTACCCACAAAGATGGGCGGGACCTACCCACAATGATGGGCGGGACCTACCCACAAAGATGGGCGGGACCTACCCACAAAGATGGGCGGGACCTACCCACAATGATGGGCGGGACCTACCCACAAAGATGGGCGGGACCTACCCACAAAGATGGGCGGGACCTACCCACAAAGATGGGCGGGACCTACCCATAAAGATGGGCGGGACCTACTCACAAAGATGGGCGGGACCTACCCACAATGATGGGCGGGACCTACCCACAAAGATGGGCGGGACCTACCCACAATGATGGGCGGGACCTACCCATAAAGATGGGCGGGACCTACCCACAATGATGGGCGGGACCTACCCATAAAGATGGGCGGGACCTACCCACAATGATGGGCGGGACCTACCCACAAAGATGGGCGGGACCTACCCATAAAGATGGGAGGGACCTACCCACAAAGATGGGCGGGACCTACCCACGAAGATGGGCGGGACCTACCCACGATGATGTGCAGAGCCGAGGTCTTTGCGTCGTTGATGCCGACGGTGGAGTAACACACACAATCTGTGGACCCTAAGAAGGGAAAAGAAGGCCCTTAACACATTATAATGATTTTAGAAAACGAAGTTTCCGGCTAATGCATGGCTCCTCCTTTTCCTCCAGGGCCCCCGAGTAAATAAGGAACAAATACGCTTTATCCACAAAATGAATGTGGGAACAGTGAGATGAACTCGTCAGAAATCCCGAGTGGCCTTGCAACACCACCACCGAGCTCCTCAGCCGGGAGTGAAGCCCCGAGAAACGCCTGTGGCGGCCCGGTCGAGCAGCTCAGTGCCCTGCCCGCTGGGTCCCCTCCCCCGGGCAGGTGCACAGACCGCGCGGGCGGCGGCTGGCGATGGTCACGGGGGAGCCGGGAGGTGGGCACCCCGAGGCAGGTGCCACGCTCACAGAGGCGCACGCCGGCCCCTCCGCGTGCCCTGGCCGAGCCCCGCGAGTGCCGAGGTCTGCACTGGGGTGACCTCAGAGCACCAGCTGCGCCCGGGCCGGGGGCGGGGCAGGGACGCCCGGTCCTCCCAGGTGTGTCCTGCTTCTGAACTGGGTCAGAATCCAGGGCGCGCTCTCGGCTGCGTGGGCAGGGAGCCCAGGCACAGTTTATGTCCGAGTCCTGAACCCCACGCCCGGCAGACTCGGCTTGGGACGGGGCTGGGCAGCTGGGATCTTAGGAGACGTGCTGAGGAGCTGGGAGCCCTGGTCGGGGTTCCCCACGAATAAAGCGCGTGGCAGGATCCGCCATCGCACAGCACAGCCACCGACCACGCCGGCCAGGGTGGCCCCGGGACAGCAGGCACGGACGCCCTGGCTGGTGGCCCCGAGCCACCGACAGGTCTCTCGCCACCAGTGACCGGGCGGGGCGG